AGGGTTTTGAAAAGACTGAGGCAATCGTTGCTGAAGTCAGTGTTGTAATGGTGAATCGAGATTTTTAATGAAGTGGGTGTGATTACTCTTGACTGTTTTGTGAAATCGAAGTTATGTCTATGATTGAAGAATTAAAAGGGTGTCTATAAGATTGAGTATGCGGAGTGAATGAAATTTATTGGATTAATCTAACGAGACATTCAGTGGATACAAGATTGTGAGTATAAAGCGATATCGAAGATTAGTAGTTTGGGTTGTTTGGGATTCTCCGTAATGTCTAGAGACCTACCGGCTGAGGCAAAAAGGACTTCGGCGAGCAGTCGAAGGGCATTCGTATAGATTTACGGTGTATTCTTGTAGTCGTTTATATTCCAGCAGTCAAAAACCGATAGACTGCTTGAATATTGGCAAATCTCCATACTACCTTCTACAGCCAGATGCCTAGCGCATTCTCGAGCAGGAAAGTATGTAATACGACAACGTACAATCTTACATCTTTAAGTTTTTGTAATACATAATGAACATGAATTTTTTATTCTTTTGTGTTTTTAAAATAGATTAAAATATTGTTTAAGTAACAAAAAAATGAAATCATCTAGAAATTTACACAAAACATCATTCATAAGATGTTCAAAAGTAGTTGATACATTTGTGACTCCAAAAGGCATAACATTATATTCAAAGTACCTATACTTTGTTCAAAATGTAATCTTCCATTCATCTCTTTCTTTAATGAAGATCAAGTTGTATACTCCTCATAGATCTATTTTTATATAGATCTTAGCTTAATTTACTTGATCAAAAAGTCAAAATATCAATGATAAAAGGTAGCTATTCTTGATGGTAAGCTTGTTGAGTCTTCGATAATCTACGCATATTTACAGCGATTCATCTTTTTTCTTCACAAATAAGATAAGAGCTCTTGGAGAAGATTTCAAATGGCATATGAAATTCTTGGCTAAGTTCTCATTAATGTACTTTTTAAGTTCATCCAACTCATTTTGTGATAAACTATAGTTTGGACGAAATGGTCGTTGACTTTCTTTTTTAAGATTAATTGAGCAATCATATGGATGATACTTGAAGTGAATATCTACTTTCTTCTTTTTAAAAATAACTTAAAAATTTTGATATTGGCTTAGAATGCTTCTTGCAATCTTTCTAATATTAAAAATATGAGTGGCATAAATAACAAAAGGTAATCATTTTTTTGTAGCATGCAAGAAAGTTTTTGTGCCTATGAGTATGGATTTGGCTATACTAGATTCATAGCTTTTCACAAAACTCTTAATAATATTCTAAAAAAAGTCAAGTTTATAAGAAATCTAATCTATTTGAAGATTATACTTTTTTAACCATGATAAATCTAAAATGATCAAATTAGAGGGAGACATAATTATATTAAAAATTATGCAACTATTATGACTATTTATTCCTACATCTATAAGAAATGTTTTATGAGTAATATCTCCAGAAGATAACAAATGGTTATCTAAGATTTTTTCATATATAGGTTTAGCTTTTTGTACTGACAATATTTTATGACTTTTAACAAAAAATTTATCTAAAAAACAAGTTGAAGCTCTTAAATCTATTAAAGCAATGGCTTTGTGATTATTAGGTCTTAAATACACATCTATTGTTAAATAAAGAGAAGGTTCTAAGGAGAGGATAAGACCTTCATTTGTATAAGATTTCAGCCACATAGTCTCTATTGTAGTTAGACAAATTTGATTTTCAATAGTTATACTCTTCATTTTGTGGTTGTGTCATTGTTATATTACATGAAGTCTTACTTGAGAATGCATTGAGTACCTGGCTGTAGAAGGTAGAATAGAAATTGCTACAACAAAATTCTAATTCTATTAGAGTATTAAATAAATTCTAATTAAATCTTAACAATGCTAAACAAGCTTTAATCAAATTCAAAAGAAACCTTAAAGAAATTATAAGATAAATAATAAGAAATCTTAAAAGAGTTGAAAGAAAATCTATAATAAACCTTACAAGAATCTTTAAGAAATCCTAAAAAATATTAAAATATTTAAAAATATATCTTAAATAAATCTCAATCAAGTTTTAATTTAATCCTTGTTGAAATCCTAATAAACTTCAATCAAATCTCAGACAAATCTTAAAGCCTAGACCAAATCTTAGACAAACCCTAAATCCTAAATTCTAAATCAAACACTTGATAAATCCTAAATTCCAAACTTAATCCTAGGCAAATCCTAAAACCTAAATCAAATACTAGACAAATCCTAAATCGTAGACCAAATCCTAGAAAAAATCTAAATCATATACCAAATCCTAAAAAAATCCTAAATCCTAAATAAAATCTTAGACAAATCCTAAATACCAAATCAAATCCTAACCAAATCTTAACCAATACAATCTAATCCTTGTATTATTTAAAACCTCAATATCTAAGAATTGAACCATTGATCTTATTTAAAAATTTATGTACTTGTCAAAAATTAAGTTAGTAAAAAGCATACAAAATATGAAGATAATCACACATATCAAATGGAAGAAAAATCCTAAAATCTGCTCAAATATTGGCCAACTTCTTATTCCAATTTAAATATTGAATTGCAAGCACCGTATTTCTTTTTTAAATAATTTAATTATTTTCAAATCTTACATATATAAAGAAAATTAAGTCCATTACTATCATATATAAATCTCACTCTTATCTAACTAGTAGATTATTAAAGATCTTAGAAATCCTAACTATCTTTTAAAGTCTAATTTCAAAGACCTCAACAAACTTGAAATTCAATAATCTTCAATTCAACCATTAGATCAAGCACAAACTTACAATATATACTTTAAATAAGTAATTACACAAGTCCTCAAAATTTGAACTATAAATCTACTACCAATTTCATGTAATTCTCTAAAATATAATACCCTTTTTATTTCATGAATTCCAAAGTCACCCAAAACAACTCTGATTTTGTAAAGTTCTTGCAAAGACATTATATAATCAAATCACTTAAAATCAATGTTTAAAGAAATCTTATCAAGTTTGCTCTCAAATTCTATTCTCCAATTTGTCAAAGAACCTTGGAATTGCCGTAGGTACTTAGTTTTGTAGCTTGGGATTTGATTTCAATCCAAGTTGATAATTGGTCCTCTCTATATATCAAATTTTATCTTTTTGAATTAACTTTTTATTCAAATCAATTCTTAACTTCCTCTTACATATGTTCATATTCTTTATTTTGCTAATCTATCTTGGTTTGCCTTATTTATAAACTTACAAAGTAAGTAGAAGCTTACTTTGCAAAGAGGTAGCATTTACACCTTTAATTTTACTTTCTTTTGGACTATTATCTATCTTCTAAGATAATTTTCTATAATATTTGAAGTAAGATCTTCTATGATATAATAATTTCTTCATCCTTTTCACCTATTAGTCATATTAGATCACATTATTTTTTTGAAAAATGTTAAGCAATATGCTTAGCTTCTCTATAATAAAAACACAATCCTTCTTGACAACGATAAGTCTTTTTTTGTTCATTAAGAGGTTTAAAATGTATTGCATTAATTTGCATGTTTTCTACTTCCAAATGTTTAGATTGTGAGATCATGAGTATTGCCATTGAATTATAATAATGTGGAGGTTCTCTTATGTAATTTTTAGATTGAAACTCAAAAAGCCAACTATCACACTTCATAACAAAGTCAATGGCTTGACTTAATATCCAAGGATCAAGTAATTTGAGAATCAATTTTTTTATTTTATATTATAATTTGTAGAAAAATTGGTTGATAAGGGCAATATCATCCCACTTGACATGAGTCACTAGTTGTCAAAATTGTGAAGCATATGATATCACTAATTAATTGCTTTGTTACAAGATATGGATCTTATTAGTTGCAATATAAATTATATCATATTTTCTATATATAGAATAAAATTATAATAAAAAAACCTCTAAATTATCCAATATTGGATCCTATTATTCAAAAAAAATTAAAAACCATGATAATATCAAATTTGAAAAAAGTACATTCATGAATTTAATTTGTGATTTCAACTTTAGATAGTTTTGAGGTTGAAGTTCAATCATAAGTTGTACTTGATTGATAAATCCTTCAAACTTAGATCTTGTGCCATTAAACTTCTTGGATAAGATAACATTAGATTTTCTAATGCTGAGAAAATATTCTATTATAGGAGAAAGAATGTGATTTGGTGCAGATATTGAAGCAGCTCCAATCATATCTATATCTTCACTTCTTGCCATTTTTATTGCTTTTGATAGCAACAAATTGAGTTGATGCATGGCAAGCATTAATTTCCTCAATTGTTCTTGTATTTGTGCAATTGCACTCTTCATTTTAAAAAGCTATATTATGATAATATTTAGAAAAAAAAATATCTAATATTGCTTAAGATAAAAAAAAAAATGACTTGAGAATAAAAGAAATACTAAGAATAATATTAATTTAAAAGAGAATAATCTACAATTAGATTGATACTTAGAGATCAATTGTTTGTCAATCTCAAATAAGAATTTTTTAGCCCAACCCTACCCTCAACTTAATCTGAGATTGGATAGGATTTCTATAATATCTAAAGATTTACTAGTTGGATTAAGTTTAAATTTGGCATGGTATTAGAGGACTTAAAGATCAACCTATACACTAATTTTGAATTGAAGTTAATAGTTGGAGAAGGAGAAATCACTATTGGAACATTTGTATCAACTTTCAAGTTGATGGCCAAGTAACATTAGTGTGGTTTTTGGGCATTTTCTCACAATTTGTAAGTTGAATTGGAGTAAATTCATTTCAAGCACATAAAAGACTTAGAGTGGCAGTTGTGTGCAAAATTTTGCTCAAAGTGGATGGTTAAATTGGAAGCTACAACTTACTGAAACTTATTGATTAGAATTAAGGTTTGCAAAAAAAAAATTCAAAATTATCTAATTATAAAAGTAATCAAGCAATTGGAGTTTACGTATGGTTGAGATTACTAAGAAGAGTGTTTTTGAGCACTTTGTATTGGATTGAAGCACTTTTGAATTAAAATTCAAATTCAACATGCAAAAAATGTTCAAGACCTAGCAGAGGAACCCAACATTTGAAACAACAGAAACATTTCAATACTTGAGGTAATGAACATGATGCAGTGAAGCAAACTTCATACTCTCCCACAGATGGTGGCATGAGTAATTGGTACGCTTTCTTCGAAGTTCTCGTTCTTCAACACATCTCGGGTATCGGTCTCCGTGCTTGTAATAGCACGAGCGCAGCTTGAAGTTACGGTTGCGAACCCCTATCTCGAAATAGTAAGACACACCCTCAAATGATCATACCCAAAATTTGTATGTACTCGGTCTGGGTACCTCCCCTCCAGCCGTGCTCAATTCCGCCGCATTTTCCCTCTAAAATCTGCGTCAGTCATTCACAGATAATGAGAGCGCTTCCTGAAGTGACGTCAAGAGACGAACTCATGCGCATATGTTTATAATGAAGCGGGCCGAAAGCATGGATTAAGAAGGGTGAAGTAATCCAACTTGGCTTATTTCTTCCATGCATACCCTCATGAATGAGAGTAGCAGACAAAAGAGTCTCAGCTTCGGCAGACAAATGCCGTGGCGCCACATTCACACGCCCAGCAATGGCACGACTCCATTGATCTCGCTCACAAGCCACAGCCCACTCGACGGTATTGCTTAAACATGGCTCACCATCCACATATTCACAAGGAAGCTGGAGACCTTCATCTTGGTCACAAGCAGAATAGCCGCTCTGCCTCAACGGCTCCTTGACTGGTTCGACACATTTAGTGCAGGTCTTGGAGAGATGCACGAACTCCTGGGGTTCAATGGCTGCTGCCTTCTTCATCTCGGCAAGCTGTGCGTGCACTGCACACAATGACGCATGGGTTTGCAAAATCAGATGAGGCTCCGATCAGCCAAACTCCTAAACCCCACAAACAGGAAAGAAAGCATGCACTAGAAATGAGGAATAAAATGAGGATTAAGGTAGAGCTTGCGACAATGGACGTCAAACATTGGCCACAAACCTTGGCTCCCACAGTGATACGACAAGAGCTGTAGCGGTGCAGAGAGGAGGAGTATGAGAGGAAGGGAACAATGTGAGCGAAATGATTCGCAGAGGTGGTTTATATATTTCAGACCCATGGAGGCCTGACTTTAGTTTCTTCCAGTTGAAACATGAAGTTGGCGGCAGATTGGGAGTTCATTGCATGAATAAATGAACGTTTTCGGTGGATGTGGGGATAGTTACACATGTGCAAAAGCCCACGTGGACAAGAAGTTGGAAGATGTGAAAGGCAAATATGTCCCTGAAGGGCGTTCACTTTTTCAAGCAATGCTCGGTATGCGATGTTTTGTTCTTGTTTTCCCAACTGCGACGTAGTGTTTTTTGTGGTTTTTGTTCTCCCTCAGCATGGACAGCAATGTTAACAGGATTTTCAGCCTTCGATTCGATGTACGCAGATGGATCCGTTTCGGTGCTGCTGTAGCCGTTGCTGGTGGTGCTATTAAGTGGGGTTAATTTCGAACATCCTTCCTAGTCGGTCGAATACGTCCGTGCTGGTTGAGAGTTCTATCGTCGCAGCAACGAAAGATCTACAAGTAGTTGGAAATTTGCAAGGTTACATGTCTTTGCTTTTGCACATTTTGCTACATTCTTCCTGTTTTGGTTCTCTTGTCTAGTGCGTAGGCTCGTCACGCAGGGTTAGTACCGGCCATTCGACATTTTCAGGATTGTGAACGGTGTCCTGTGCAATATTAAAAAGGATACTCAGTTCGCTTGGAACTTTCAGATTCCCAATTGTTCACAAGCAAGTGCTTGATCACCAGGAAACATAATATTTGTAATTAATGCGCTGTACAGCTTCTAAGCATCAGAGGATGAAATAAGCCAAGTTGGATTACTTCACCCTTCTTAATCCATGCTTTCGGCCCGCTTCATTATAAACATATGCGCATGAGTTCGTCTCTTGACGTCACTTCAGGAAGCGCTCTCATTATCTGTGAATGACTGACGCAGATTTTAGAGGGAGAATGCGGCGGAATTGAGCACGGCTGGAGGGGAGGTACCCAGACCGAGTACATACAAATTTTGGGTATGATCATTTGAGGGTGTGTCTTACTATTTCGAGATAGGGGTTCGCAACCGTAACTTCAAGCTGCGCTCGTGCTATTACAAGCACGGAGACCGATACCCGAGATGTGTTGAAGAACGAGAACTTCGAAGAAAGCGTACCAATTACTCATGCCACCATTTGTGGGAGAGTATGAAGTTTGCTTCACTGCATCATGTTCATTACCTCAAGTATTGAAATGTTTCTGTTGTTTCAAATGTTGGGTTCCTCTGCTAGGTCTTGAACATTTTTCGCTTGTTGGTTGCTATGGTCTAAAGTGTTAACTTTACTCCAGTTTACACTGCGTGGATATGCAGTAGACGTCGCTTTGGTTTTCTGCTCGTTTCATGTAGTCTCTTGTCAATTGCGATGTCTTTAATAAGGTCCAACCCATTGTATATGTGATAAGTTGCGTATCTTTCTGTACCCACTTTGGGTAAATCATGTGGACACTTCGTTATAGTGGAAGTGGATGGATCTTAGGAGTGTTGTGCTGTACTTTAAAGGATGTATATTGCTCATCCGTTCACTGGTTGGTCAATGACGTTTCGATGTTGACACCAAATGGTTGGATAGCTTGTTCGAAGACAGAAATGTGGAAAATGACGCGATCGACTGCTGTTAGTTGGTTTGGCTTCATTATTCAGTAGTGTCCAAGCTTTTACTGATGTTGCAGATTAGAAATGCAATTTTATTTTGATGCTCGGAAACCAGTTTATATCCTGGTTGACAGAGTCTAAGCTTGTTATCGGAACTCACAGGATAGCTGAGTGTCTTAGGTTTGTGCTGTGTCTTGCAAGGAGTTTTGAATAGTCGTTCGGGTTCATACGCATTTCTACATTTAATCAAGATTAACATAGTGACTTTGAAGATTTTGAAGCACTGCAATATCAAAGTGATGGACATTTTAGTGTGCAGGAACTCGGAGGATGTCAAGCGGTGTTATTCGGTAGTTTCGGTTTGATATCCAAGTGTTTTAAAATCCTCAGAGACTACTTTTCGAAAGTATTATTTGTAAGAGAATGCCAAAAGGTGTCAGTCAGTTACATTGCTAACTGTAGTTCCGAGTAGTGAAATGAACATTTAATAATCACGACTACTCGTCAAATCTGGTTCATCACTTCGCATGTCTTCTTTCATCAAGGATTGTGCACATGCACATTCTCTCTTCGCCAGAGTGTATACCATCTCTTCGTATCTTCGCAACATCGTCTGAGTGGTTAAACCCTCGGCTTGCCTTGCCATTATATTATCAAATTTTTGGGGGAATTTTGGAAACATATATGATACTCTAGCAAACCGTGATATCTTCACTCCGATATGCAGAGAGAGCATTCGTCTCACTTGTGTACCTCACTGCAAGAAACTCTTCTTATTCAGGTTATGTAAGGTGAATGTGTGACCTATTTTCAATATCCGTTGCTGGCAAGTCTACCTCTTAAGATTGCGATCATTGTACTGTGACGTAGCTGAGGAGCCACTATTGAGGAACAGTGTGCTTTTGTTCGTCAAGTTCTGGTGAAAACTCATTTGTAAGCCATCAAAGCATTGGTTTTGGCTTTTGAAGAATGCAGAAAACGTTGATGCATTTTCAAGTGAAAGATTATTGTATGATAACTTCAGACCAGAACGATATGGTTTGCATATGTGAAATCTCGAGCATGTCTTTGTTTTGAAATTCGTTCATTTTATCTCTGGGCTCTAATTTTGAGCTTGCGACAATATGACTTGCATATGAAAGAGTTTGTTTAGACTACATTATCTATGTACTTCCGCAACTAATGAAGACATTTCCGTTGCAAGCGAATTGAACGCCTTACCAGGCTTCGTTGTGGCGGACAGAGTTGTCAAGTTTTTGCAATGTCCTCTCCATGTCATGTGAAGTGTATCCCAAAACCTCTGCCGAGGGATCCAGTACCAAATCATTATGACCAAGCCTCAACAAATCCTAGGAAACTCAAGTACGTTGATCCGTCCCATAGAAATTGTGTTCCTGGTTTCGCAGCAGCCAGCTTCACTCCCAAGGATCCGGCTGAAAAGTATCGTGGCCGCACCCATAACTGCACTGCAGCAGTGACGGCGAATAGTGGCGAACGCTACGCGGTAACCTCACTGAATCCTTTGCATGGATGCGTTGGTAAACAATGTAATTGTATTATTTTGTCCACTGCTGCAAGAACCTGTTGTAGATGTTTGCTTCGTACACCTCGAGCTGGGTTAGCTTCCAGCTTTTTGAGCTTCTGAACTGCTCCTGACCTATGACATATTGACAGCGTGATCCGTAACCTAACAGTTTGAAATGTTACTGGGTTATAACCACCAGATTTGCCATTCTCAAGTGCTGACCGGGTACAAAGCTCCATATGCATATGGTCAAAGTGCAGTCTTCGATGGACTCACGTAAGTTTCTGTAGATTTATATCCCTGAAGTATACCGAAAACTCGACAGACGAAGTCTAGTAGACTAAATGAATTTTAGATGTAGATTGGTTGTTTCGACTCCATTCACCATGCTCAGAAACAATGTGCAGGACAAACAACTATTTCAACCACTTAGTCCGGAAGGTGGGTGAAGAGGTGGATACTAATTCCAAGAAGCTGGTTCCATACAGTTTAGCGGCCCTTCGAAACCTGCCCCGAGTAATAGGGCACAACCAAGTGGGACTGCATTGCTTCGACCGTCGGAATGCAAGTTATATAAGGTGTAAAATGGATACAAGCCCTTGAGAAAAACTTCTTTTGTAGTTGTTCTGTGTATCACGCTACTAACTACGAGTAATGGCTGCATGTGGTCATTTCCTGACCTTTAGACATGGTCTGTGTTCGATTCACAGCCATGGAGCAGAGAAGGTCTCTTTGGTATTTGTGTAGACTTGACGATTGTCTGATGACAAGCAGCATCGAAGTAGTTTCAAAACGAATGGATTACGTAAGAAGAGCATTAGTGTGTTACAAAGATCTATAATTGATTGTTGAATTTTTGACAGCAGAGTATCATCGTGCTTGGATTACTAACAAGATCGTCACGTCTTCATGTAATCAGTTATCAGATGCTATTACTAAATGATTTCTAAGTTTTCTGATCGTTGCGTAGCTTTTTTTCATTTAAGGTTGGAAAGTGGAGATAAGAGGGACATGAAAACGCCTAAAACCACTCACAAGAGATTTCATTATCTTCCGAGGTCCAAAACAGGGATGTCCAATGCTGGCATATTTGCTGGTGATACTTTCTTACCCTTCTCTGCTCAAATTTCTTGCTCTTTGACTGCATAAATCATAGATGGTTCGTGCAGATTAAACTTACAGGTATCTTTTGACTGCATCATTCTGTGTGCAGAGAAATCAGCCATGATGCACAGGCACCAAATGGGGTAACAGGTCACTAGATTGAAACAGCCTGCTCTTGAGACGGTAATGTTGGAGCAAACTGTTGCTTTCATGTGAATGAATAAACGGGAATTAACCTAACGAGGATCATCTCACAATAGAGAATTTGCTGAGAAGAATTTTTAAAAAGTATCAAATTCTTGTACCGCGGACTTGGGTCACAACGCAACCTAACTCCTGGATGTAGTTCACAGAACAATGAACTCTCAAACTGCAATCAGGCGCATCTTAAATGGGCACACCTTAAATCTTTTGTGGACTTCAGAGCAAGATACACGCCGTTCTACCCTATCAACAGAACCATAGTTGGCAACCTCCACTCACTGTCCGATTCATAACCCAATAACAATTTCCGTTTCAAATTATGCCTTGCTTCAGGCTTCTTCTTCCCAAGTTTTTCGTATCTTACATCTAAAGCTTCAATCTACATTATCCGTGCAGACTTCGTTAAGATAACCGTGTGGGCCACGATGATTCCTCTACTGCACCAATCCGTTTTGTGCAAACACGCCATGAACACATTGATCGTAGTTGTGATCTTGCATCGCATCTCGTCTTGCAGGCACTGACTTAGAAGCGAGTATAGACAGAAGCGCATCGCCAACCATTAACAAGCAATCTTCCTACCTCCGATTTGCCCTCACGATCTGTGTGAAATGGCCAATCTGTGCCACTTGAAGGTCTGCAGGTTTGAGTGTTGAACGATTGGCGACCATGCACTCATTAGGACTCGGTCAAGATATTGAGCACGAAACGGGATGAATGTGGTTGTTCTGGGTTGCTTAGAGAGAAGATTCCGGTGGTACCTCCGGATTTTTTTGGGTGTTGCGAGAAATCTGATTCTTGACTTCTAGCACCTACTAGCGGATGCGTTGGATGTCTGTGAGAAGATTTTTCTAGGTTTTATGGTTGTGCGCTGTGAATGTGTAGTAGCTTGTCTCAGTAGGGGTTTTGCAGGGAAGAAATGGCCCAATCGATGGGGATGCGAGTTGCGAAGTCAATTCCCGCGGTAGCATGGGCGATTCTCACCGCATCCCTGCTTCTCAGAGGGTCGGAGAACGGATTGAAGATGCTGGAGCGAGGTTGTCCAGACAGAGCTGCGTACTCCTGGAGATCCAACATCGCACCTTTAGATAAGTATCTCTGCGTAGCCGTGAATTTCTTCATCTATACTGTGCGGTCGGACGAGGGCAAATGGATAACTGGCTATCTCGGCACTCTTCTCGTCTCCGTCCTGGCCTTCATGGCTGTAGAAGGGTCCCGAATTAAGTCAGGGTTGGTTCTCTCTGCTACATGGATTCACGCCATCATCTTCCAAATCACGGGCATCTCTGTTTCCTTCCCCTTGCTATGGCTACCTGCATACTTTGTCTACGACGCAGGAACCCGCGACCCTAATGTGGTTTGGAAGAAGAAAATTTCCTTAGTTCGCGTCGCTGCTATAGCCTTCGCCTTCCTTTTCCTCTGGCTCAATGCCATCGCGCTCTTCTTCCCCCTCAAGACCGACAAGAAGCAGGCGGCTTGTTTGCTTTTCCTCGCCATGCCGATCCTCGTCACCATAGTTTACCTCCCCTTCACAACCCACCCTGACGCGCCGCAGAAGAAAGGCCACCACGGTGTGATCGCACTCCATCTTCTGCAAGCCGCGTTCGGACTCACATGGCACCTCACTGCACTCTTGTACCTGTTCCGCGATCACGAGATCCTTGGTCGCGTCGTCCAGCTCTTCACCTCATTCAGAACCGAGCAATGGCCGGCCTATTTTTTGCTGATCGACCTAGTCTCGCTATTCCTGTCGTTCCTTTATCTCACGGCCGTTGAAGACGGACTTCTAATTACGCTGGTGGGATTAGTAGGAGCTGTCGTGTTCGGGCCAGCCTTCGTTGTCTCGGCTTACTGCGTCTACCGAGAGCAATGCATCTCCAAAGCACTTCCCCGCGCCAGAAACAAGAGGAAAGATTGAACAGTTAGAAATGATGTACATGTAAGTTTTATAATTCCAAGTATCCAAATTATTCAAGTTAGAGGACCTGACGTGTTCTGAGAGATTCAATTCAGCACGGCTATCAGGGTACAGATTATTCAGTTGTACAAAGTTCGTTTCTGTGTCTTCGAGTTGCGTTTTATGATTTGAGCATTGTGGGTCCGTTGAAAACAGGACAGATAAGGTAGCGTGTTCTAAACTTGTTTCCTGTCAATTTACATTAATATTACTTCCCATGGTGTTCTAGTGATCTGTCTGTGTCGGCTTGTATGATCGACCTTCAGTTCGCTATGTAAAGTACTTTTCTTCGCACAAAATCGGTCATCTGGTAGATATGCTGGTCCATGAGGTTTCTGTGCAAGATCCATGATTGTTCTTAACTGTTCCATGTGGTCATCACCGCAAACCCTGCCGTTTTCTCCTACTCGTACTCTCATGGTCGCTGCAGGACTCCACGCACTTCAAGGAGGAATTTCCGCTACGAATTCTTTGAAGAACAATGAAAGAGATCCAAAGCCCCTCTCAACTGCTTCCTTCTTTAATCTCGCAAAGCAGACTGGATATGTGTGCACCCTGTGATAAACATTCGTGGTAACTAATGTCAATCACGAGACATCCAACGAAGTACGAGTTAGTAAAGTTTCAATCTAATAAGCAAAAACTTCTAGATTCCAGATTCTGCATTCAAAAACTTCATATTTTCTATTAATTGTGGATGATCTATTATTTTGATGATGATATTGATGACAAATGTTTTTATATTGATTTCAAATAATCCATTTTCTTTGATGTTGATATTGACGATGAATATTTTTTAGTGATTGTGGACAATATATTATTTTTTTGATATTGATATTAATGATTTTTTTATTATTTTATTTTTATTGATTGTGGATGATTCATTATTTTTATGATGAATATGATGGATGTTGCAAGAATGATTGAGTTCAAGAATCTTTGTATAGAGAGTGGTTGATGTGCATAATAATGATAGGTGGGTTGATTTAGCAAGTAAATGTGTCAATTTAGCAAATATTATAATTAATATTATAATTTAAAATTAGTCTTAAATAATATTGTTAGAATAAATCCAAACAATAGAATTTGATTCAAACATTATAATTTTAATTTAAAAATAACCTTAGTTTACTCTTTCAACTACTTTATATATATATATATATATATTTAATATCTATATTTAATCTTTTAAAAAAAATAAATTAAATATTATAATATACTAATAATTACATCATTATATTTACATGGTCAATAATATTAGAACTACTTTCCATTGGTTGAATTTTTTTTCTATTGCTTTTAAACATTGTACAAAGTTATGGTTCAATAGCAATCTTTGGATGGTTTTATAAAGTAGAAGGAACTTAAACATGTATTTTTTATATATTATAGTTGGACTAATTTTCAATAAAAACCATCTTAATAAGTAATTGGCTGTCTTTTCACATATATAAATCTATATATATATATATATATATATATAGATAGATAAAAGCAAGAATTGATTTTGATTGGATTAGAGATTAAAGTTAATTTTTGGCAATATTTTAATGTGTTAAAAATATTACATCATTAAGATTCTATATGAAACAATTAAGAATTTCTTGATATAAAAAACTGATGTTTTAGCAAATTAAGAAAACATTGTTGTATTGTAATGCAACCATAAGGTAAAAGAGTAACAAAGACCAATTTATATAGAAATTATTGATTAGAATATTAGTATAGATATTTTTAGAAATTACAACTAATATATTTTAGATGATGTTTTTTACTACTTTTATTATAAAAAATTCTATTTAATTTTTAGAGCTTTAAATATAATATTATTTGATAGAATAGATACAAAATCATTACAAATTTCCTAAGATAAAATTTAAGCATAGATTTGCAAAAATTAATCTAAGAAAAGTTCAAATTCATATCCAAAGAAGATTGTTTATGAAACCAGGTCAAAATCAAACTTTCAAGCACAAAAATAGGCTTATAAGGAAAAAAAAGGGTTTTGTTGATTAAAAAGTCCTTGTGTTGTAACATGGCAATTGGATTATATATATATATATGTATATATATATATATATATATATATATATTTATTAAATATTTTAATTTAAAATATAATAAAATCTTACTTTAAAAAATATAGTTAAAGTTAAGAAGGTAGTAAAATAATAATTTATTATTAATATTATCTTTTGTTTAAAACTTGATATAATTTCTTTGAAAGTCACGAACATAATCATATAAGCTAGTAATTATATATACAGATAGGTAGAAGTAAATAAAAGTAAGTAAAAGTAAGTTAATTCTATAATATTTAATATGGAAGCTTCTTAGAAGCTTCATAGACACTGTTTTGACTTCATAGGTGTCTTTAATTGACTTTTTGGATTAAAAACGTGGTCAACAAGTTGACCGTGTGCCACACATGTTGTTAGCTTGAAGATCAAGCTAACTATGTGGCCCACACGTAGAAAAACTTGCCTTGTAAGTCAAGGCATGTGTCATATAAAGTCAACACATATTGGAGGTCCTATAGAACATCGCCACATAGCCCCTAGTTAGATAGTATATATAGAGACAAGAATGAAGGCTTCTTCACTCTTGTCAACTCTTTTCTTGCTTCTAGTCTAGTTTCAAGGGTCTCTAGTTTTCTTGTCTTTTGGCAATAGCCAGTCCAGATTCTCTTTCAATATATATACTTGTTTATATATATTTTGTTACCCCTCTTTGAGTGAAGGCTCACTTGTGTGAATTATTTTTTCATCGAGTTCTTGTCCTTGACAGATTGACAAGAGTACACCTACAATATCAGAGCTTTGTCTAAACTTGATTAAGAGTGAATTATCCCTTTTTCTTGATAAGATATAAGCATATTAGAAGTTGCAGATTACCCTCTTCTAAATTTATATTGTCCTTAGTATTTTCTTTGTTCTCAAGTCCTCTCTTCTATTTGTCTTGAGCGATATTAGACATCTTTTCTCTTCTAAGTGTTATCATGGCAGAACTTCTTGAAATGAAGAGTGCAATGGCACAAATGCAAGAGCAATTGAGGGAGTTAATGCTTTCAATGCATCAACTCAATTTACCACCACAAGGAGCAACAAGATTGGCAGGAAGTGAAGATATAGAAATGGTTGGAGCTGCTTCAACATCTGCACCAAACCATGTCCTTTCTCCTATAGTGGAACGCCCTTCAAATGTTAGAGAACCAAGAATTGTCCTACCCAAGAAGTTCGATGGCACTAGATCTAAGTTTCGAGGATTTATCAATCAAGTACAACTAGTGATTGAACTTCAACCCCAAAGCTATCCAATTCCAAGATCGCAAGTTAGATTCATTGGTATGCTTCTTTCAGGTTCAGCATTATCGTGGTTTTCATCTTTTGTTGAACGACAAGATCCAATATTAGATAATCTAGAGGCTTTTTTGGTAGAGTTTCGATTTATGTATGGAGAATATGATGCAATTCGAGTTGCAACCAATAAGATCCATATTTTATGATAAGGCAATCGATTAGTAACGTTATATGCTTCACAATTTCGACAACTTGTAACTGATATCAAGTGGGATGATGCTGCACTTATTAGCCAATTTCTCTATAGATTACAATATGAGGTAAAAAAATTAATGCTCAACTTACCTGATCCTCAAACATTGAGTCAAGCAATTAACTTTGCTGTGAAGTGCGACAATCACCTTTTTGAATTCCGATCTGAGAATCGTACAAGTGGACCTCAACGTTACTATAATTCAATGGCAATACTAACACTTCTTCAAAACATACATTCGGAAGTAGAGGATATGCAAATTGATGCAGTATGTTTCAAACCTCTTACTGAGCAAAAAAAGACTCGTCATCGTCAAGAAGGATTATGTTTATATTGTAGAGAACCAAAGCACACTGCTCAACATTGTCCAAAGAAATGACGGAATTACAAAATGAGGAGTATGGCTGTGAAAGAAGACAATATGTCGGAAAACGAGTTTGTCCAGCTACAATAGGGACCATGCGGCTGGAACCTTGCACAACATCTAGTAAAGGTCCTATTCTCTCCTCAGAGCCCTCTCCTTGTTTTACATTAAATGTTATTTTAGGACCTAAACATTACAAAGTCTTTGCCTTGTTAGATTCAGGAGCCTCAACATGTTTTTTAGATGAAGAATTTACTAAAAGACATAGCATATCTTTAGTAAAGAAAACTAAACTTGTTCATATAGAAGTCATAGATGGTCGTCTATTGTCTTCTGGAGATATTACTCACGAAACCCTTCCTATAGAAGTAATAATCAATGGTCATAATAGTTTTATAGTATTTAATATCATTAGATCTCCCTCTAATCCAGTCATTTTAGGTTTATTGTGGTTAGAAAAATACAACCCTCAAATAGATTGGATTTCCCAAACTCTTACTTTCTCTAAAAATATAACTAACAGTGTAGTTAATCAAGTAGAGAGTCATAATTCTAGTTCAATTAAACTTATATTTATAGGTGCAAAAGCTTTCTTGCATGCTGCTATGAAAGAATCACCATATATTATTTATGCCACACCCGTTTCTACTGGTGAAAAGACTTCAAGTGGCATTCCAAGCCAATATCAAGAATTTCAAGATGTATTTGAAAAAAAAATGCGGATACACTCCCAGAACATCGTCCCTATGATTGCTCAATTGACCTTCAAGAAGGAACACAACCGCCATTCGGACCAATCTATAGTTTATCACAAAATGAATTGGGTGAACTCAAGGAGTATATTGAAGAAAATCTAGCCAAGAATTTCATATGCCATTCTAAATCTCTGGCAGGAGCTCCAATTCTATTTGTGAAGAAAAAAGATGGATCATTGCGGATGTGTGTTGATTATTGAGGACTCAACAAGATTACCATCAAGAACAGGTATCTACTACCTTTAATATCTGGACTTCTTGATCAGCTAAATCAAGCTAAGATCTATACAAAAATAGATCTTCGGAGAGCATACAATCTAGTATGCATCAAAGAAGGAGATGAATGGAAGACTGCGTTTTGAACTAGGTATGTACATTTTGAATACAATGTCATGCCTTTTGGACTTACAAATGCACCAGCAGCTTTTCAACATCTAATGAATGATATTTTTTGAGAGTTTTTGGACGATTTTGTGGTTTGTTATCTAGACGACATCTTTATCTATTCTAAGAATCGAGAAGAACATGAACTTCATGTTCATCGTGTGTTACAAAAATTAA